TGCTGGATTTGTCCAGCTGAGAGCCCAGAGCCCCTTGGTCTGAGCTCCTGGACTGACACCTCTGGTGGGCCAGCAGCTCTGAGGGTGCCACCAGGCCATGGGGACCTGGGGGCCACACAGCTATTTCCTGGGACCAGGACTGGGCCCTCTGGATGACGTTTCAATCACCCGTGCGCTCCGCCATTCCTCGTTGGTCCTGGCGGGATGATGTCCTGTCTGGGAGAGGCTGTGGTTGTGCCGTCCACATTCCACACAGAGGGCAGTGGGCCGGAAGGGGCCATCGGCCGTCCCTGCAGAGTGAGCTGTTAGAGCACGCGCTCTGGGGTGGGGTGATGGACTTTCCCGTGCCCCTCCACCACGAGGCTCCCAGCCTTTGCCAGCTGTGGGCTGTCCGAGGGACCTGCTTGGCCAGGTGCTCGAGGGAACCTTTCTGGCCCCACAGTAGGATGGTGGGCAGGCAGGTGGGCAGCGCGCAGGTGGGCTGCCAGAGCCCAGGCTGGGCAGTGGGTGCCTCCCAACCCATGCCTGGCTTGCTGGAGTTGCTCCCAGTGGGAAAAGCTTCCACCTCTGCCCCTGGGGGCATGTCCCTGCCCAACCTGGAGGGGACCCAGGCCCTGACCATGAGGTTGGATATGTGTCTTCAGTGACTGGGTCCCGGTGATTCCCGAGGCTCCGGGCCCCGGCCCTGTCCTGCCCGAGTTCAGGTGGCGGAAGTGAGCGTGTGTAAGGACCCAGGCTAGGGAGCAAATGTGTCCCACACCTCTGCGGTCCCTGGGCCTTCTACCCTGCTGCAGATGAGGAAACCCACATGGTTGCCTGGATCTGAGCAGATCTCACCCCTCTCCCCAGTTGGCCCCAGCACAGCAGAACAGGCACAGTGGTGGAGCTGCAGCTTCCTGCCGCCTGGTCCTGTCCCTTGGGGGTTACCTGGGGCCTGGGAAAGCCGGACTCACAGGTGCCTTCTGGTATTTTGCATTTTTCCCCTGGGGCTCGCACCCCACAAGGAGAGGCCCTTAGGCTATGTGCAGGAGGTCACCTGGCTCGCTGCACACCAGGCAGGCCGAGGGTCCTCTCTGCTCTCCTGTACTTTCCTCACAACAGCATGGCTGACCTCAGAAGTGGCAACACACCGCCCCTGGTGCGTGGTGAGCAGGCGGTCCTGACAGCGGCCGGCCGTGTCCCAGCCAGGGGCGTCCTCGGCCGCAGTGGAGCTGCTGGCTGGGAAACTGCAGCCCTAACCCAGGACAGACCTTCCCACGGAGGCCTCCTGCCAAGGGTGGGCAGGCTGCACACCATTTGGCCTGGGGGCTCAGTGCCTCAGTGAGTACTGGCCAAGGCGCCAAGTGGGGGCTCCAACGTGGCTCAGCAGCACAGCACTTGCTTAGTAAAAAGTGCCGGTCTGAGGACGGAGCCCCGGGCGCTGTGGTCGTCCTTCCAAGGCGCATCCAGGCCATGGTTAGCGGGCGAGCTCCTGCTAATGCTGCAGACTTGCGTGCTGCGGATGGGGCAGTTCAGACCCCATGTCCCCTTCCCAGTGAGCCCCGGGCAGAGCTGTGGGGAGCTGAAGGGTCACGGCTGGAGCCAGACACAGACCTGCTCCTTCCCCATCCCACATTGTGCTTGTGGGCCTGCCATGTATGTGTTTGGCTAACATTATTGTGGTCAAATATACACAACATAAAAATTGCCTTTTTTTTTTTTTTTCAATATTGGGGATTTAACCCAGGGTCTTCTCACTGAACTGCATCCCAGGCCTTTAAAAATTTTTTTTTGAGAAAAGGTCTCATTAAATCGCCAAGTTGCCCAGGCTGGGCTTGAACTTGGAATCCACCCGGTGATGGCTGGGAGCACAAGCTGAGTGGGGCCCCTGCCTCAGCCTCCCAGCTCCATGAAGCTATTTTTAAGTGGGCAGCTCAGCAGCATTAAGCACATCCCCATTGTTGTGCACCTGTCACTCTGTCCACCTCGGGAATTTTCATCTTCTCTTTAGAGCTTGTCATCCTTTAAACACTGAATTGTTTTTTAAATTTTTTTCTGCAGTGCTGCAGATGGAACCCAGGGACTCTTGCACACTGGGCAAGTGCTCTGCCACTGTGCTCTGCCCCAGCTCAACACTGACGTTTTTCACGTGTGTGCACTGGGGACAGCCCTCGGCGGACCCCTCCCACTGCCCTTGCCTGGCCACAGCATCACCTCCACCATGCCCACCCACTTCAAGGGAGCTCCATGGACAGCAGCACCATGGGCAACTGGGGGGCCTTTCTGCTCACCTGGCACCTGGCATGCACAGAGCTTACTCTTCTTGTGCCCCTCTGCATGGACCTGACCATCCCTGCTGTCCACGCCTCAGCACGTACCGACATGAGGATATTTAAGACAGCTTTCCTCAGGTGCGTGTTCTCTTTGCCCGAACCTGGCTGCTAGCGCCATCCTAGGCATTGTGCACAGCACCAGCAAGGCCCTTGGCTCTGGGAGGGACCTGTGTGAGTGGCCATGTGCTGTGCTGGCCCAGGTGGGTGGTCTTTGCCCCACCCATTTCATTGGTTGTCAAGGAACTGGCAACAAGAGGTCGTGGCCTGGGGCATCCTCAGTGTGGCCAGGGACCAGCGGGCAGAGCAGCAGAAATGGGCAAGACAATGCCTTGAGCACTTGGCCCTGTCCAGTAAGAGGGCAGAGGGGACCTGCTGGCTACTCAGGGTGGCCACTGAGAGCATCAGGGCAGGGCCAAGTTTGGGCTGGTTCTGAGGTGGAGTGGGTGTGTCGAGGACAGGGAGGTCGTGCAGATGTAAGGACGCCAGCCCAGCGCATCAGGGACTTTATAAAGTGCGCGCAGCCTCCAGATCAGAAGGGATGATGTCCTGGGCTGAAAAATAGCCTGGATTCACACTCATCCAGAGCTTCAGGATTCAGCCTCGTCAGTTAAGGATCTCAAGAGGAGGGCATATGACCCTAAGTCCTAACCAGGGCCCTAGGTCCAAGGGCTGGCATCCTTAAGGACAGAGGGACACACGAGGCCATGTGAAGATGGATGCTGGGGAGAGTGAAGTGGCCACAAACCAAAGGACACCAGGCCACTGGAAGCAAGGAGGCAGGAGGGCCCTTTCCCCAGGGCCTGGAGAGGAGTGTGGTGCTGTCACTGATCCCAGCCTCCTGAGCTCCAGCCCCGGGAGAATGCTTCTGTGGCTTCATGCTGGACACTGTCTTTGCCCCATGAGGCCTCTTGGGTGACCCTGCCTCAGCCAGGCCCCTCCATGCCAGGCCAGGCCAGCCCAGGTGGGGCCACGTGCTGGATGCTGTGGGCCAGGAGAGCAGTGGGTGCCAAGAGGCCCTGGAGTCTAGGTGGCCCCACTGGGTCAGGGCAGGCCAAGGGCAGCCTGCACGGGAGGGCGGGAGGCGGGCGAGCAGCCAAGAATGGAGGCTATGTGCCATCAAGACAACTGGCCGCCCACACGGCTTGTATTTGCTAAGGGTGAGAGAAAGGAGTTTGGTAGGAGGGAGCCTCTACACACACAGACAGAAGGAGAGCAGAGGACAGACCCAGTGGTGGCTGGGAGCACAAGCTGAGTGGGGCTCCTTCCTCACGTACCCTCAAGTCCCGCAGGAGCTGGAGCTTGGAGCTCAGGAATGAGAGCACCAGGCCAAAGGGTGGAGCAGGGCTGAAAATCAGGGCGTTTAGTGACCTTTTCCACCCTGAAGCTTAGGCCTCTATCTTCAGACCTGCTCCCACAAAGGTCAAGGAGTAGCCAGACTGCTGCTCACGACAGACCCTCACATGGACCCCGCAGAGGGTGAGGATTGTGGCAGTTGAGGGGAGGCATCCATATGAGAGCCCCAGCATGGGTAAGCCAGAGCCCATGGCTGAGGATGCATCCCAGGAGGGTACCTGGCCACCGCTGGCTCCGCAAGCCCAGAGCCTTCGAGGACGCAGAGGGATGGGGTGCTGCTGTGCACCGGGGGACTGGCTCCAGTCGGTGGGGACGGACATCAAGGTCAGTGAGAAGCACAGAGGAAACTGGGGAACAGCAGAGCAGACACACGCTCCTGACAAGGCCCTGAAACACAGCTCTGGGGGCTGGCGTGAGGCTGCCTAGCAGACACCAGGATGCCAGCAATGTCCCCAAGTGACCAAGGGCAGCCCAGATGGTTCCAGGTTAGCCTTGTGGAAATGGCCTGGGTGTGCATGTGTTGTGTGCATGTGTGTGCAAGGGCACTGCTGCTTCTCGGTCTTCCAGTACCACTTACTACATGCATCCAGCGTCACTGTTCAGCTGCTCATCCCACAGTACCTGCTGGCACTGTCTTGGGGTCAGGTCGGAGCACCAGAAAAAAGCCCTGCCTGACCAAACGCAAGCTCAGGCCCCGTGTGCACCGGAGGCTCTCTTCTGACCTGGGAGGACAGTGGTGGCCTCAAGAATGGTGGGGTACGCACCTGAGGCCTCGGCACAGACAGCCACGGCGGGAAGAGCCTGGAGGGGCAGCAGATGGACTACCAAGGGTGGGACAAGGGGAAGTGGGGACAGGTTTCTTTTAGGGAATGGAATGTTCTGTCACACAACCCTCAGCCTTCTAACATGCCCTCAACAGCACACTCTAGAGTAACTACTGTGTATGAGTTACAGCGCAATCTAAAAACAAGACTGGCAAAACGCTGTGATCGATAAACCAGATGGGAGCAGGTAACCGTGGGGAGACCAAGTCTAGCTCTGCCTTCCTCCAGGGCAGAGCATCAGGGAGGGCCAACCGCACAGCCCTGGTGACTCGCAGTGGGTGGGGCTTTCTGCAGGCAGGGAAGTCTGGGCAACACCTGGGATGTCTGATGGTGAAGTTCCAGCAAAAGCCAGCTGTGGGTCCCAGGACACAACCTCCACTCTGAGGAGCGAGCCCTGACTCAGGTCTCTGAGGTGCGTGCAGGGAGGATGGGCGAGGGCTCCCCTCCCTGGAATGCTCAGGGCCCAGCACAAGATGAAAGCCATGGATAATTAACGCTCTCAGGCCTGGGCTGACTCTACAAAACCCTTTATGGTGACCTGAAAGAGAAAGCAAATAGATGTAAGACCCATCCCTGGCTTCTAGGACACGAGGACCTTTGAAATTATAAGACATTAAAATAAACCCTCCAGTGAAAGGACCTCGTGTTCTGGTTGCAGATTTGATGTTAGATCAAAACCGAATTGCTCCTGAAAGCTGAAGCGCTGGCTTATTATTTGAGGTAGCTGAACCCCAAAATACAGAAAGGATGTCTACCCTAGCTGTGCCTAGCAGTGTCACCTGTCTGGGACCCCTGTGGGCAACCCTGTGGCTGGTGTCTTCCCCAAAGGGCTGAAGGCCCCTCCTCTGCTTCCTTCTGTCCCCACCATTTCACTCAGGAACACGGCAGAGGCACTGGGGTCTGCAGGGCAGGCAGTCCAGCTGGTGAGGAGCCTGGGGCAAGGACGTGGCCTCATCATGGAAGGAAGTCTCTTTCCAGGGCACACCACCTACAGGAGCAACCATGGCTCTCTCGGCTGCAGTCCGACCTGAAGGTGGCTAGCATTAGTCCCAGCTATGTCTTGGTGACCACCTAGCCGAGGGCAAGGGCTTCTAACAAGCAGGGCTGAGTGGAAGTTCAGCCTACCCCACCAGGGACATGTCTCCTGCCATTCTCTTGCTATGCGCTGCGGCCACCTATGGGGAACAATGCTGGCAATTCACAGCTCGCGTCACCTTTAGTTAACAACTTGCTTGTGCATTCTGAAGATGAGCCAGAACCTGCTCATGCCTAGGTCGGATATTGGGTGCATTCAGTCGTGAAGCCGAGTCTGCCTTGGTGTTCAGCTCCCACTGAACAGAGCATAGTGTTCTGGGAGTGACAGGGAAGGAACTAGACCACACCGCTCCCCTCGGATGGCTGGTAGCTGTACCCCGAGATGTCTCATGCAGCAGAGAGCACCATGGAGTCCCTGTGGACCCCAGAGGGCTGCCCTTGTTACTGCGCCACTGTGCACAGAAGCCGGCCGCTGGCCATGCGGCTCTGCAGAGCTCCCCAGCAGTGCGATCCTCCTCCTAATTAGGGGTGTTAATTAGCACAAGTGAGTCAGCCTCGGCACATCAGTGGGAAAAGCTCTGGGGAGCAAACCGGTGTCAGGTGGCACAGAGTTCTGCCACCCATGGAGTCCTAGGCTGAGGGGCACCTTAGTAGAGGAACCCCAAGTTGGCAGGGAAGACAGAAGCACCAACTCTTGAACACTGACAAGCATGTTCTCTTACACATTAACAGCCACCCGTTTTACAGCCTGGCTTGCTTGTGCAGCATCTGGAGGGCCTTGTGCCAGCCTCCTGCCTCGGGCCACTGCTGCTGTGCCACGCTACCACCTAAGTGGCTGGCAGCCCTTCCCCAGCTCAGCCTCCATGTAGGCATCGTAGAGGACTTTCAGGTGGAGCAGCAGTTGCTCCAGGTTCTCCCCAGTCAGGGCTGACAGGGCGATGACCTCCTGTCCCAGCTGGGCCCGGAGCTGGGGTAGAATGGCTCTGGCCTGTGGCAGATCAATCTTATTTGCAACAATCGCATGGGGCTTCTCAGACAGGCCTTCTTTGTACTTCTCCAGTTCATATTTTAAATGCTCAAACTGAGTCCATGGCTCTGGGACGGAAAGGTCCACCACGAACAAGAGGAAGAGGCAGCGTTCGATGTGCCTGAGGAAGCTGAGCCCCAGGCCCCTGTTCTGGTGGGCACCTCGGATGATCCCTGGGATGTCTGCCACTATAGGGGACAAAAGCACATGTGTCACAGCTGACCCCGGCACCACAATTTCTAACCTCGGGCTGGGAGGGGAAACCAGGAGCCCCCTCTGGGGCCAGACTCCTTGCCTTCTAAGATTTTCCTTTCAAGGAACACCCAAAACCAAAGCCATCATTTACCCTACTGACTCAGCAGGCCAACTGACATGAGGCACCTCAGCCTTCAGATTTGCAAACTGTTCTGAAATATTTGGGTGACAGGAACGATGATGGATCAATCTAATGAGGAATACTGAACAGATTCCTGTCTTTCTGGCTTTAAACATGATTCAAAAGAGGGAAAAATGGCTTCCTGTACTCTATTAATAATTTGATTACCGATAGAATTCATTATAGAGTACTTTGCAAACATAAAGTGCTATACAAATAACCTTGCCAGCAGGCTTACTATTTTTAATGGGTACATTATCTGCTGGAAAAAAGTTTTCTTCTCTCAAAATGGTACACGGAAAGCTTTTAGGATCACATGTTGTCTACACGACTGATGCTGCTGAGTTCCCATAGAGGAAAGGAAATAAATGCAGTGAGAAGGAAACCTCTCCTCAGGTTGGAAATTCTAACTCACATTTCTCAACCGAAACTAACAGATTCCTGAAGGGTAGAATCCTAATTTTGCTAGAGAACAGACTTACTAAAACTGTCTCAATTAGGAAAAACAACGTAACAATTAAAATAGGAAGCTAAATTTAGGAGTTACATAACCATCTTCCTGAATCACCTGGACTGTCTAAACCCACCTGCTACTTGCTGGTGGCCGGCATAGTGCACAATGCCTACGTGGGGATTTAGGGTGGTGAACGGGTAGGACGCCACAGCGGGCTTTGCATTGGAAATGGCTCGGAGGAGGGAGGACTTCCCAGCATTGGGGAACCCAACCTGGAAGAAAAAGCACAGGAGGTAGCTGAGCCCACAGAAGACTTCATGGCTGCAGCCTACAGCTGGCTGAGGTGGGGGACACTGGGCTGGATGAGGGAGCTCACACGTCGGCAGCACGCTGATGGGACAAGCTGGGCTGCAAAGCCTGGAGTGTGTCCCACCACAGGGCACCCACCATCCCGGCGTGGGCCACCGTCTTGAGCTCCAGGTGGAGAACACGCTCCTGACCCAGCTCTCCAGGGGTGCAAGTCACGGGGGCGCGGTTGTCGTTGGCCAGGAAAAAGCGGTTGCCTTTCCCTCCTGCACCCCCCAGTGCCGCAATGTACTCGTCGCCTGGTCGGCTCAGGTCAGCCATGATTTCACTTCCCTCCTTCACCAAGGTGCCCATGGGGACCTGAAAGGCAGCATGGTGTTCAGTTATGTTCTTCAACAAGTGAAGGGGAAGCAGGATGGGGCACTGCCAAGGCCCTCCCTTCATGGCCACCATGCACCAAGAAAAGAGCCAGGCTCTCCAGGGGTGGAATGGGGCTGGGCACACCCTTCAGACATCCAGTGGCCAGCCCCTAAGAGCTCATGGAGGAGACACCTCCCAGGGACCTGGGCCAGTGCGGCCAGAGGTGGGACGGGGTGTGTGCTCGTGGGCCACTTCTGAGGCAATCACTCCAGTCTTCACCAGGCCGGACACATGTGGCACAGCACCAGTGCAGGCCCTGCATGGGGTTTCGCTCCAAGGGATGGAACCACTCTCCACCAGCTCCAGTGGCTTTGGCTTACCTGGATGTAGAGGACAGCGCCACCTCGTCCGGAGCAGTTTTTCCTGCCGCCATCTTCTCCACTGAAGCCCTGATAGTGGGACAGGACTGACGACAGGGACTTGACTTTTGGGTCAACTAGAGGAAGAGCAAGAACCTTCACATTCCTTTGTGTTAAGACAGAACCAGCACTATGGGTAATATTCTTTTGTCCAGTTTAAGAACCTTAAAAAGCTGAATGTAGTGGTACATGGCTGTAATCCCAGCACTCTGGGAGGCTGAGGCAGGAAGGCTCAGCCTGGGCTACTTAGTGAGACCGTCGCAAAACTTAAAAAACAACAACAAAAAAACAACCCAAAGGTGATATAGCAGTAAAAAGGACCTGAGTTCAATCCCCAGAAAGCACCTCCAAACAAAAGCAGGAAAACGCATAGAATGGGACACATAGAATGAAACTGGAGAAACTGACTAGAAATATGTTTTTTTGGTACTGGGGATTGAACTTGGGTCCTTGTGCTTGTGCAGCAGGCGATAAAACCACTGAGCTAAATCCCCGGCCCAGAAATATGATTTTTAAAAAGCCGAGTTCATATTTTCCTTCAAAAACATTGCCATCTCTGAAAATCACTGAAATTAATCATAATGCACTCATCAACTAAGAAAAAGCTATCGTTTATTTTCTGTGACTGTTTCTGCTCCTGACCTACTAAACATCTATGGTAAACATGAGCTGAATGTAGTCAACGCTGTTTTCAGCACTTACTGAGACTGTAATACGGATTTTATCTTCTGACACTTACTGTCATGTTAGACTGCTGAAGGAAATGCTTTGTGTTCCTGAAATTAAAACTCCCAAAACCCATTTAAAATTGCTGCATTGTCACATAATTTATAAAAATGATATCTACACATCAAGTTTTTAATGCAAAAGCACGTAAGGATGAGAAGGCAGAACTGCTACTCCAGAGATGAAAGGGCCGCTCCCCCAGCTGCTCCCAGGCCACGTACCTCTCAGGACGACGTGGCCACCACTGCCACCATCCCCGCCATCGGGGCCTCCGAACTCCTTTCGGGGCTCGCTGTGGAAACAGCTCATGCCCGAGCCTCCACTTCCTCCACGGACAAGCACTCTGCGATGGTCCACAAAATGCTTTTTCTACAGAGAACACAAGGCACACCACAGTGTTAGCAACACTCCAAAACCCTTCCAAGGAGACCAAACGCCCACTTGACATACAGTATGCCTTAACTGATTAAAGCTAGACAATTACTAATCTCTCCTAAAATCCAAAGATAAAAACCAGTTCCCACAGGTCACAGGAATTAGCAAGCTGAGGTGAACCAACGCAGATGTAAAGGGTGGACAGTGGGGAAAGCACACTTCAATTAAGATGCATTATGTCTATGCACCAACTCCCCATGACAGATGTAATCATTATGTACTGCAACACGTATAATAAAACAGTAAAAAAACAAAAACTACTAAGGTACCCTTTAAAAGACTACTGTGGTATATGAATTATATCTCAATTTATTAAAGCTATTACATTAAAAAAACCACACACTTCAAAAAAGAACTTGGCCTTTCTAACCTAAGGAGAATGCAGCCTGTTTAAGAAATATTTTTGAACAAAGTGCCTTTCTAGCTTCTCTCAAACAGAGACACATTGTGTGACAACAGGTCTTTGCTATGGAAAATTCTAGTTCAGCAGGATGTAATGAGGAGAGGTAGTTCTTCTTGGACAACCACCAGGATTTCTTTTTTTTTTGGTACCGGGGATCAAACTCGGGACCTTGTGCTTTTGAGGCAGGTGGCGGAACCACTTAGCTAAATCCCTGGCCCTCCCATCAGGTTTTAGCTCTGGACAAGGTACCTTCTGGTCCTGCCTACACGAGGGCCCTATCTGCATACCATGCAGAGAATCTGAATAACCAGCTAACTAGGTTAATAGTGAGCAGACATCACCTCATCCCACAAGGTCAGCTACCTGGCTGCAGGTACAGTCCATGCACTGCATCTGTGGAGACCTGTTTTCTGCAGGTTGTGTGGGTGGGCATGACCCCCGGGCCTGACAGCCCCCCACAGCCCTTGTCAGGACTTGGGAGAGGCATATTTCCATTCTATGGGCCATAAACAGAGATTTTTAAAAAATGAAAATAAAAAATTATGTTAGGATTCTTTGGCACCACCACATGGAAAGACCACGAATTACGATTTCAAAGGCTCAGTGTGTAATTTCACTACACCCCGACAAAACTAGGATCCGCCTGATGGAAAAAGCACAAGTGGTGAGAGCTGTACCGAATATAAAGCTTAGGTTCCAGTCTGATCTGGGGAAGAGGCAGTCACGTGCTCTGCATCCTGGCTACCAAAGTGCTTTTTCAACCCAAATTCTGTCTGCCTTCAGAATGCTCACCTGGAGCATACTCTGGGGAAATTAACCAAGTGATAAATGCATGTTTTCTTGAATTTAGTCAAAGACCATTCACGGTGTAAACAGAAGGTGTTAGTAAACAGAACAAGAAAACTTGCGAGGCTGTAACATCAAAGGTCTACTCTGCCCTCACGCAGAGGTTCTGCATGTTTACAGACGTTAAAGAAACACACAAAGTAAAGTCCACTATGCAGTGACAAGCGAGCAGCCTGGCCCTCGCCCAGCCCAGGGAGCACACAGCCACCCTGGCCCTCCTGGGGCTGCCGCTGCCCCTGGCGATGGCAGGAAGGCCCCTTTTAAGAGGCTCCACAGGTCCCTTGAGTAACACAATCAGGATAAGCAAACAGCAGATAAACAGAAGGCCCCAGCACAAAGTGCTGCCGCCCCCCGGGGAGCTTGAGGAGGGTTACTCCAGGCTGAGAATCTTACCAGTTTCTTCTCAGACAGCAGCTTCTTTCCGGGGGGTTTCTGATGCTTGGTGCAGTCTGCACAGCCCGTGGAGAGTGGCCTGGGTGGAGCCTGCTGTGGAAGGAGCCTGCCGAGCGGGAGGCCAGCCCATGTGGATGGAGCCCCCATCACTCCCTCCAACCTGGTCCAAGAGCTTGCTGAGAAGAGCCTCACAGGCACCATGGCCCCTAAAAAAGTCAAGGGCAAAATAAAGCATGTGGGCTAAACCTGAGCATCAAACTGAAGCTGAAGAAGTGTCCTACACAAACAAACCTGATGAATCCAACTTTCTCCACCCTGAGGCTCATGATGCCCTCTGGCATGCATCAGTATATTTGGGACTTGGGGCAGGATCTGGTTTGTTTTTTTTTTTTCAGTACGGGGCATCAAACTCAGGACCTTGTGCTTGCGAGGCAGGCAGCGGAACCACTGAGCTAAATCCCCGGCCCTAGGATCTGTTTTTTTGTTTATTTTTTGAGTCAAGGCCTTGCTTTGTAGTTCAGGCTGTCCTTGAACTCAGTAAGTAGCCCAGGCTGGCCTCAAGCTTGTGGTGATCTTCCTGCCTCGGGCTCCCGAGTGCTGGGATTACAGGCGTGTGTGGGTCAGGGTCTGTATACAGCAGATTTAAACCATTCAATCTCCAGTAGCACTAGATATACCTTTCTGGGGGAACATCAAGAATCTGCTCAATGAAAATATTAAAAGGCAATCTAAACCTCAAGTCCAAACTTCTTCAAAGTGCAAAGGCCCATCTGTTCAGATGTTATTGTATTATCTTCTGCAGCTCATACTGTATAAACGGCAATATGAAAATACTAAGCATGGTGTGCAGCGGCTAAGCAGCCAGGCACTGGAAACAAACCCCACCCCTGATGCTCATCTCAGGGTGATCTGGGGAAGGTCATGCACCTGCTGCCTCAGCCTCCTCACTCGGAAGGTTGGTGAGGACGAGCTGAGCCGAGGCACATGGACCCACAGCAGCAGAGGCTGGCTGTCATCCTGACAGGATAAGCAACATCTATCTGGTCTCTGCCCCCAGTTCCTCACAGAGCTCAAACCCTTGTAATTTCCTGAGAGATGGGAGTGATAGAAGTGTCTGACCCACAGCCACCAAGACCCTTGGAATTTCCTGCGTGACAAGAGACTTCTGCTCTAATGAGGTGTACAGCTTTAGGGTTGGGCTGGTCACCCCACCCAGAAAGACCAGGGCAGGAAGTTTGGAATTTTTACCTCCCATCTTCCAGTGGGGGACGGGCTGGAGATGGAGCCACAGTCAGTGGTTCTGCGTGATGAAGCCTCTGCAAAGCCTGAAAGCCCGTGGAGAGCTTCCAGGTGCTCGGAGGCCTTACACTCCACTCCACGGGCATGGAAGTGGCCCAGAGACCCTCTAGCCCTTGCCTGGTACACCTCTCCACCTTCTGCTTCTGGCGGCCTTTGCAGTGTGTTTTACAACAAACCAGCAAACATCAGGTGCTGCCTCTTCAGCAGAGGTGTGGGGACCCAGGGACCCGCTCCTTGACACTTCATCTGAGGTGAGGACAGTTTTTCATGACTGAGCACTTAACATGTGGGTTCCCATTCAATGGGCCAGTGTGAGAACTGACTTGAATGGAGGGATACCTACATAGGCAGTGTCAGCAGGGCTGTGGGTGGGCACAGATGGCAGCAGCAGCAGTGGTGGGAGCCCAGGGTCATGCTCAGTGTGAGCTGCTTCTTACTGCTCCTGGCACTGTGCATCTTCTGGGAAGGTGAGGAAGACGCTGACCCTGCCTGCAAGGGGAGGACAGTCCTCTGCCTTCACTACTCCCAGAGCTCCCATTCTAGGGGCACTGTACAGGAAATCCATGCAGCTCTACACATTCCTCAGGGGGTGTAAATGTCTGTGTGCTGTTTAGCAAATTGCCACAAAGCCAGGACAGGTAAACACACTAGGAGAGGACACAGAGTCTGTCCTTCCCTAGAAGCCCCTGCTGGGTGCCACCCACTGTGCACACCCCTACCTCTCTCCAGGGAACACTGTCTTCATGCCCGCTGTTCCACAGCATGGCAGCCAATGGTCCTGCTCTCTGCATGAGGCACCAGGGTTTCAGAAGCAGGGGAGAAGAGCACGTCTAATGCCTTGCCACCGGGACACTTCCTGTCTCCCAGGACAAGGGCGCCTACAGAAAGGCCCTGCACAGCAGCCCGCGCCACCAGCCTTTCCTCAGAGTGGCCTTGGGTAGTCACTGTCCCGGCGTGTCCTCCATGGGAGGTGCACACCCTGATCTCATGTTTCCCGCGCTGGAGCAACCCTTAGCCATGCGACCCCTGTGCCCTTGGCCCTGGAAGGCTACAGGCAGCTGTCCACAGAACGCCCTCCTGCTGGCCTGACCTGATGAGATGTCCAGACAGGTCTTGCTGCCTCTCTGCCACCTCCAGCAGTTGGGCTTGTCCCTGGCTGCCTGTCACTGCTGGCACTGAGCAGCAGCCCCGGGGTGGTGTGGTGTCTCCCTGGAGTAATCAGTATCTAGTGGGGAGGCACTATGAATATGTGTGGGTATCCTGTTTATCCTGCTCCTCATTAAACCATCAATGTACTCATTTTTATGTACTCATGTTTTCCTAGTCTAGCCAACTATCATTTAAGGCTTAAATTGTTCCTAATTTGGCCAGTGGAGACCACTGTGAGGCTTCATGTCCTTTTGACACATGCCACCAATCTGAGCACCTTCCTGCACAAGTATCCGAGACTCACCCATCCTGTCCCTACCCCATCCTGAAATTGGCTGCACCTAAAGGAGCCTGACTCCTTTTAATGGAGAATGGCATCTGGAATCTAAGTCTGGACGCTGGGCCTCCTCATTGCTATTGAGGAGCTGCTGTTCCCAGATTGGGGCGAATAGGGCTGGAGACTACACACAGGTCTGTACTTCCATGAGACACATCATTTACACGTATAGCTAGGTCGACTTCTATCTGCATTCACATATATCAACACCTGTTAGAAACTTGAGTTCAGACCAGTGTGTCCAATCCAGCACTACAAGATCACTCTAACACCCCCTCCTGTCCTGGCCTCTAGGAGCCCAGAGGTCCACTCTCCATCCTCTCCTTATTCGTCCAGTGTCCCACCCACAGTCACAAGTCTCACCTCATATCCTTGTCCAGTAGGGGCTCCCCTCTACCGAACAACCCTGTCCGAGGCAGCGAAAATATTTTAAAAATAAACCTCATCTAGAATGGCTTTAGAGCTACAGAAAAGTGGCAAAGCTATTCCTATATTCTTTTTATGCTGTGTTCTTAAAAACTCAATTTCTTTTTTGGTACTGGGGATTGAACTCGGGACCTTGCTCTTGTGAGGCAGGTGGCGGAACCACTGATCTAACTCCAGGCCCCAAACTCAACAGTTTTTAAACATTCTCCTTAATAAGTGTTTGTAGTAGTAGCGTTTACGCTGCTTGTGTGGAGTTGGCATGTGTAGATAACACATCTTGACCCTTTTTCCAATCCTGTTTCCCTCTCTCCCTCCTCCTCCTTCCATCCTTTTTTCCTTCCATCCTTTTTCTCCTTCCATCTTTTGACCCCTTCCCATCTGAGAAAGATCGATCGATCTCCATACTTCGCATTATCTAACGTTTATTTTGCTCTTTATTTACAATTTGGGACAAACTCAGCAATATACATGAAAAGGACACGTATCTTGAAAGATGCAACTTACCAAATAAACACAAGAATAAACCAACTGCTGGGTGTGGTGGTGCATGCCTGTAATCCCAGCACTTGGGAGGCTGAGGCAGGAGAATCACCATGAGTTTGAGGCCAGCCTGGACTACATAGTGAGTTCAAGGCCAGCCTCGATGACATAGAAAGACCTTGTCACAGCACCAAAAAAAAAGAAAAAAAAGAAAAAAGAAAATCCAAAAAAGAATAAAGCAACAGCTCCAGTATCTACTAACAAAACTGGATTTGCTAGAAAAGAACATTCTCAAAACAAAATTCCAGACTCAGAAACTAGTCATAGAAGTGATGGCAGAAAACTTCCCAAGCAGGGGAAAACAACTTGACATACAGATAAGTGAGGCATATAGGACTCCAACTAGCCTTGATAAAAAAAAATCTACACATAGGCATACAACAGTTAAGATTCCAGAAATCCAACAGAAGAACAAAATTGTACAAGCAATTAGAGAAAAGAAACAAATCACATACTAAGGAAAGCCCATCAGAATCACAGCAGACTTCTCAGTGCAAACCCTCCAGGCAAGAAGAGCTTGGAGTGACATATTTCAAGATCTAAAGGAAAACAGCCTCCATCCCAGATTGATGTACCCTGCAAAACTATCTTTCAAAATTTATGGAGAAATAAGATACTTTCAGGACAAAGAGCACCTCAGGAACTTCATGAATACCAAACTAGCACTCCAAAAAATTTTAGACGATATCCTAGGAAAAGA